CCACTCTCCCCCCGCCCGTACTCCCTCGCTCCCTCCCCTACCTTCCCTGACCGCCCCCACTCGCCCCCCGTACCTCTAGGTAACCCCATCCTAAGCCTAGTTCTCATCGATTGTCCCGCTTCAGGTCTAACGGTAGCTGAAAGAACACTCAGAGGCAGCAGTCTGACTGAGACGAAGCCGGTGGCTGAGCTCGTTAGTGTCTGGAGTAAGACCGCTCCGAAGTGACGTCAGGACACTCCCTCACGAGTTCTATCGGTGGACTCCCTCAACTCTGGTACAAATGCTGCTTCTCTCTCCCTCTTGTTTCTACTCTGCTCTCTCTCTCTCTCTCTCTCTCTCACCCTTCGCTCTCTCACCCCTCTCTTCTTTTCTGCTTCTCTCTCTGTGACTCTTTCCCTCTCTCTCTCTCTCTCTCTTCTCTCTCTCTCTCTCTCTCTCTCTCCGTCATCTCTCCGATTCTCTCTTCTCTCTCTCTCTCTCTCTCTCTCCTCTCTTTCTTTCCTCCTCTCTTCTCGTGGAGAACTCCGCTCAACGGCAGTCGATCCTCACTCTTGGTACTTTCCTGCATCCCTTCTCCCTCTATCTGCCTCTCTCTCTTCTCTCTCTCCTCTCTTCTCTCTCATCTCTCTCTCTTCTCTCTCTCCTCTCTCTCTCTCTCTCTCTCTCTCTCTTCTCTCTTCTCTCTCTCTCGTCTCTCTCTCTCTCTCTTTCCTCTCTTCTCTCTCTCTCTCTCTCTCTCTCTCTCTCTCTCTCTTCTTTCTCTCTCTCTCTCTTCTCTCTCTCTCTCTCTCTCTCTCTCTCTCTCTTTCTCTCTCTCTCTCTCTCTCTCTCTCTCTCTCTCAGACACTTCCTCAACTAGTACTCTCTCTCTTTCTGTTTGTCTCTCTGACCTTCTGGCTTTCTCTCTCTCGCTCTCTTTCTCTTTCTCTCTGTCTCTCTCATTCTCTCTGTTTCTACCTCTCTCCATGTCTCTGTCTCTCTTTCTCTCTGCTTCTCTCTTTCTCCCCCTGTCTCTGTCTCTTTCTCCTCCTCCTCTCTCTCTCTCTCTGTCTCTATTTCGCTGTCTCTCTTGCTCTCTCTTGCTCCCTCCCCTTCTCGCATTCTCTCATACAGCAACTCTCGCTCACCTCGCACCACTCCCCCTCCCCCACCTTCACTACTGTGGTCATCAAACCTTTTCCCCTTGCCCCTAGTCCCAACCCATACACAGTATCAAACCACCCTGCTCACAACTCAGCCCTGTTACCTGTAGCACCACCAATCTTCTCCACACACCCACTCATATCAATCCACACCCGCAACCTCAAACCATCCCTAACGTTTCAGCTCTCTGGCATCGCCGACAAAATACCTCCCCGCTATGCTTGTAATAGCTCAATCTAGACGAGGAAATTCGTGTAATTTTTGGCGACGTAATAATAATAATAATAATAATAATAACTTCAACACCCCCTGGGAGCTGACACTGTCGGCAATAGGCATGCGCCCAGCGATCCTGCCGTAGCCAGTCGTGTTATACAAGTATTGTGGCAATAACGCACGAGAACCCATCAGTGTTGCTAGTAATCAGGAAAGTGATAATAAATTACACTGTAGGTGGCACCACCTGCCCTGTGCCCACATTTTCAGTGGATATGTTCATAATTACATGTACATATATATACTAATATATTATACTGATACCCTTATAAATGTATTGATTATAATAGAAATATGTACCTTTAAATAGATTTTATGCATGCACACCTAATGCAATTGTATCTGTAAAATATTACGATACATTGTGGGACTTTGTCCTCCATATGTCGTCGGATTTATGCCTTCAGATATAATAGCACGAGACTCATAGCTTCAGGCCTTGTGGATAATATGTATCTTATATGTATCTTATATATAAACCCGATTTGATCTATATGTACACGTATCTTCTTTACCATGGGTTCCTTGTGCCTTCGAACGTTGCGTGTGCGACGCGAACAGTCGGTAATGTTCTTCGTGTTTGTTCCGCGTGCAGAGAACGGCAAGCTGCAGGATCACATCAAGGACCTTCAGAAGGACAAGGACGACATGCTGGAGCAGAGGGATTCCGCCTCCAGGGACAAGGAGCGCAAGGATAAGGAGCTGGAGAGGATGTACGTTGATCCCCTCACCGCGCACAGTAGCAGTCCCTCCCAGACCACCTCTAGTATCCTCTGTTAGCTGGAAGGATGTCTTGTCTTGCCCATAACCGATCTGTCCTGTCAAATTCCTCTATAATATATATATATATATATATATATATATATATATATGATATATATATATCTATAATACTTATGTTTATCATATATAATATACTAAAAATTGTACGTGTGTATAACATAATGTATTGATTAATTATTGGATTCGCACACGTATATTACTTTATGTGCAGCTATTTGAAAATTACATTTACCTTCTAAACCAACCCTCTGATACATATACTGATTCAGGGCTACTGTGATCAAGAACACATCTAGTAACAACATCTCTACCATTTTACTTTTAAAATTAATTTAGATATTTGATATATTATTATCATATATGCATCGAGACTATATTATAATAATAATAATAATAATAATAGGATAGCACGGTTTGAGTGGAAGGGTTAAGGTGTAAGTGTAAGTGTTGTCCGTCTCCTCGGTAGCAACAAGAACGTTGAGACTCTGGAGGCGAAGGCAGGAAGTCTGAAGGAGGAGAACGTCATGATAAAGGAGAATCTCAACAAGACTCAGCTGGAGAAGGAGATGATGATGCAGGAGAAGGGCGAAATCAGTGAGTACACGCAAGGCTTCTCTCTCTTACTCGACGACGCAAAACAACCTTCTCTCTCGTCCGGGCAACTTCTCTCCCTCGCGCTGTCGTGGTGCAATGGGAGAGGAAGTTTGTTGCTGCACCATGAATGGACCTAAGTCTACTAGTATATATATATATATGTCTACCACTCTAACCGTCAAGCCTTCAGGCTTCTACCAGGGAATCTTCATGTAAAACTCCCTAATATTGTCTTTGAACTAGAATCGGCGACCTCGCTGAAAATTTCCTTCGCTGCGCGTCTTTCTGCCGTGATCGATACAGATGGCGCCACTTGTCTCTTGCAGGCGAGGCGCTCGCTAAGATGGAGGCGACGTGCGTCGAGCGGCAGATGATGCTGGGACAGATGAAGAAGGACGAGGAGAATCTGAGGGATGCCATCGACAAGCTACAGAATCTCAACGACGGCCTCGGACAGGACAAGAACGAGCTCACGCGGCAGATCCAGAAGGTAGGGGATCGGTGTGGCTGGAGGCGGGAGCTGGCCCCTGTCGTGTTTACATTATATTGCGTCATATTAAGTTACTTTGTATTGTAGTGTGTAGCGCGACGCTACACACGTGTAAGGGGTAAAGGTAGGCGAGTAACCAGGAACGATGTAGCCAAAGACGAAGACCAGAATTAAAGGGACAAGACGTGTCTTTATTGCAACATGTCCCGCTCTCATACCGCGCACATGCGTCCTCGAATTCGCTTTGTTTCCAGCGGAATGTCTCGGGCGGGCGCGTGTCATCTTCACCCTCATAGATCGCGGTGTTCAATAATCCGATATGCTTGGTCCGGAATAATCTAGTAGTCAATGGTTCTCGATCATGCGTCGGCATGCAATTTCAGCCCGTCATACAATGTCCACTACATAAATAATAGCCCTGCTGTTATTTCTCTATGGATGTTGACGGGTGTAATTGCTCGCGCTACCTTGCTTCTCACCCGTACACATGTCCCAATGAATGTCCCATTTACCGTATAGCCTGAATGTAATACTGGTCGCTACAGTATTGCTGTACCGCTGTGATGTCCATAAATCGTATGCCCTCTTGGAAAGAAAATGTTAATTTTTCTGGCTGTGTCTGTACACAAGTGGTGCATGTTTCTTGTTCTTACCAGAATTGTATGCTGTTAATAATAATATGATTAATAATAATAATAATAATAATAAATTGATTGTCCTCACTAATAAGTGGTTTCGAATAGAGTATCGTGACAGTGCAAGCCCCCAGCAGCTGTTCATTCGTTCCTAAAATTCCACCTAATTACATTTCTATACTAATACGTAGTATCGAATACTATCATTACAGCGCAAGCGGTCGGAAGCTGTTCATGCATTCCCGAACCTCCAGCAAATTACGTCGTTCTTACTTACACGTGGTATCGAATAGTATCGTGACAGTGAAAGCCCCCAGACACAGTTCATTCGGTCCTAAAATTCCACCTAATGACATTTCTTTACTAATACGTAGTTAGTATCGAATACTATCGTGACAGTGCAAGCGGTCGGAAGCTGTTCATTTATTTCTGAACTTTCGCCGAATTATGTCGTCCTTACTTACACCTGGTATCGAATAGTATCGTGACAGTGAAAGCCCCCAGACACAGTTTATTCGGTCCTAAAATTCCACCTAATGACATTTCTTTACTAATACGTAGTTGGTATCGAATACTATCGCGACAGTGCAAGCGGTCGGAAGCTGTTCATTTATTTCTGTACTTTCGCCGAATTATGTCGTCCTTACTTACACTCGGTATCGAATCGTATCGTGACGATCGCGCTCGCTCTTGTTCACCTCGCAGCTGGAGAAGGAGATCATGGACTTCGATGAGAGGAAGATGAAGAACGAGGATGCGAAGGATGCACTGAAGGAAGCCCTCGCCAAGATGGAGTCTGAGAAGCAGGACGTGATGCACGAGAAAGCCAGTGAGTTGTTAACGATTGCGCGCGATCGATAGAGAAACTATCTACGGCGTCTCTGGCGGCTCTACGCACCCCGCGCTGCTGATATTTCTCTAGACGCGTGGATTCTCCATACCTAAAAATGGTTAAACTCGATGAGAAACCAAAATGGTATTGGTTCCTACCGTGGGTCTGTTATACTGCACGATATCTCAGATCTAAACCAGTCTACACCAGAAATGCTGTAAACAGTGTTATAGGACACCCGCGAGTCAAAGATGTCGTACGTTTCGAAGTTGAAGTTTCGTGAAAAAAAAGTTTCGACGTTAGTTTTTGAAGTTGTCAGAAACATCGTGCCTTTATCTACGGGGGTTCACTGTAGTACTAAATTGTCGTGGTTCCATATCTTTTTGACAGTTGCGGATTTTCGTTCCTGCACTGCATCTATCATCCACGTTGACTTCCCTGCAGTTACCTTTAAATCTTTGACTGTTTAATTTGTTAAATCTGTGGCTATTAAAAATGTGACTGGTAAACGTGACTGCAAAATGTGACTGGTAAATGTGATTGTTAAATCTGAGATTGTTAAATGTGTCTGTTATCTGACGACCGCGTGACGTTACAGGTGTCCTGACAGAACCTGCTGTTGCCACTACCTCACCTGTGATTGATTTTACACACCTGTGCTCTGTCCTGTAGGTGTGGAGACCAACCTGCAGCTGTCTGAGATGAATGCAGAGAAGCTGGAGGCGAAGATCGATGATCTGCACAAGGAGAAGGCTGAGATCAACGAGGAGCTGAACAACGTAAGTGTGTACGACGCACGCGCGCGCGCACGCACGCACGCGTGCACGCACACACACACACGCATGCACACACGCACGCATGCGCGCGCACACGCACGCATGCACGCACACACACACGCATGCACACACGCACGCATGCACGCGCACACGCACGCATGCACGCACACACACACGCATGCACACACGCACGCATCCACGCGCACACGCGCGCACATGCACGCACACACACACGCATGCACACACGCACGCATCCACGCGCACACGCGCGCACATGCACGCACACACAC